GGGAGGGAGGGAGGAGGAGGAGGAGGAGGAGGAGGAGGAGGGGGAGGAGGAGGACGAGAACGCGTCCGTTCCAGAGCGTTCCGGGACGCACCCAGAGAGTTCCGGGACGCTCTGAGAAGGCCGCGGCGCCCGAGGCATCCTCCAGAGCCGCCCGGCCTCAGGGATTTCCGGTGTATCTTGTTTCCGATTGCGAAGGCCTTACGGCCAGTGCCGCCGACCCTGAAGGGGGACGACGACGACGACCACGACGACGACGACGAAGACGACAACGACGACGACGACCCGATTTGTCCTCGCTCTGACTTCGCCTCAGGCCCCCTCCCACGGCCTGCCTTCCCAGACCCCCGACGTAATTTTTTTTTTTTTTTTTTTTCATTGCGTCGACCCCCAGAGGTCCCGACCCTTTCCCCACGGCCAGCTTTGCACCCTGAGTTGTTTTTTGACGCTCCCGAGGCCCGGCGAAGGCCCCCGGAGGCCGAAACTTAAGGAGAACCTTCCGTCATGTTTTTTTCATTATTCGAGGGGGTCTGCCTTGTCTGCACCCTACCCTTCCCGTCTGCGGCCTGCCCCCTCGCCGCCCGGGCGGGGAGGAGCGTCCTCTCTCGGCCAGGCCCGTGGGGGTGCTTTGCCTGCGGCGCCCGTGGCGGCGGCCGCACGCGGCCGCCCGGCGAGCAGAGGTGCTTTCTCTGAGGCAGCAAACATTGAGCAACCATTTCGTCGGGCCAGTGCGGAATGCCCCGTTTCCGCGCGCCTAACAACCCGCCGTCCGCGCGCAGGTGTCGTTCGTGTCGCTGCACCCCCGACGCATTGCAGAAGCCACAGCGACAAGGGCGTCACCAGCACGCGAGCAACGATTCTTTGTGTTTTGAACGGCGATCGTTTCGGTTTCCGGCCAGGCGGCGCCATGCGATACAGTTGCACAAAACGATGGTTTTGTTCAGGTTTTCCGGCAATTGTGCGGAAGTCCGGCCGGAATAGTAGGATTAAGTCGGGCCTATAGGGGGACACGCCCGACCTAACGTTAGGATGTTCCAACCTGCTTCAGGCTTGATCGCCAGAGAGAAGTTCGAGCACCAGGGAAGTGCCGAAACCGGAATCGGGCTTTTTCACGTGTCGGGCCCTGGGGGGCGATGTTCGTTCGACGCCGTTTCGATATTTTTCCAGTTTCTGGGATGTGGTCCTCAAGTACGATGGGAACAGCATGGGGCGTTCCAAAAACGGCTGCGCCATCGAGGATCGAAAGGATTGTCATCTCTTCCTCGGCGACAGGCGGCGGAAGGGCGGCGGAAGGTCGGCGGAAGTAAGACGAGGCCGCCTGCGCCGGCGAAGGGCGGCGGAGTGTGGCGGAAGTATACATGCGTCCCCAAGATTATCGAGCGCGTTCCACTACTCGCAAAGTGCCTGCTCGCAAACGTCGGGCACGAATCCTGCCTTCCTCCATGTGACGCGTCGTAGATCCCCCACGGCGGATCCAGGCCGTTTGCGAGTGGTTACCTTGCGAGCAGTGGAACGCGCTCGTTCACAAGATATGGAAACGTTTTTGGGTGCAGGGTTTCCGGAATCGCCCACGTAACCTTAAGACGGGCCTGTCCCTCTGCATGAGGAATATTCAGAAGTACTAAAGAAATCGTCGGGGGACGATTTTTAGGGGTATTTTTGGGCATCGTTTCAATATTTTTGCAATCTTTTTTTTTTCGTCCAAAACCCCGGAGGAGGAGGAGGAGGACGAGGAAGAGGAGGAGGAGGAGGAGGAGGAGGAGGAGGAGGAGGAATAGGAGGAGAAGGAGGAGGAGGAGGGGAGGAGGAGGAGGAGGAGGAGGAGGAGGAGGGGAGGGGACGAGGAGGAGGAGGAGGAGGAGGAATAATAAAACTAAGAAGAAGAAGACTAAGTCAAATACGGAAAATAAGAAGAATCATACTAATAAGAGGAATACCAATAATAACAATAATACGAATAATTCGAATAAGAAGAATAAGAAGAATGTTAAGAATAAGAAGGAGACGGATGATGATAATAATACTAATAGGACTATGAATAGGAATGATATTAGTAATAGTAGGAAACAAATAATATTATTAAGAATACGAAGAAGAGTATTAAGACGAATATAATAATAAAACTAATAAGAAGAAAGCTAATAATAATACTATGAGGAATGTTCATAACAACAATAATAGTAACACTATTACTAATCATAGTAGTCATAAGAAGAGTGATAATAATACGAAGAATAAGAATAATAATGCTACTACTACTACTAAGAATACTACTACGAAAAAAAGAAGACGAATAATATTAATAAACATAATGATAAGTGGAATCCTAATATTATTAATAATAACAATAACAATAAGGAGAATATGGCTAATAATTATAATATAAAATGAAAATAAGACTCAGACTAAACATACTACTACTACTACTACTACTGCTACTACTACTACTACTACTACTACTACCAATACTAATACGACTAATCATTGTTTAATAATAAGAATACTCCTAGCAATGCTAAGAATACTTCTAATAATAATACCAGCAGTAATATTAATGACGCAACTAATAATAACCATACTGACACTATAAATAATAGTAAGGATAATACTAATTCTAACAACAACAATAAGACTGATATTACTACGATTAAAAATACCACTACTACTAATATTACTAGTAATAGTGTTACGAAGAAGAAGACTGATCATACTATTGTTATTAATAGAATTATTATTCATAATAATGATAATATAACAATACTACTAATAATAAGACCATACTACGAATACTAATAATAATAGTGCTAAGACGAATAATAATAATAACGATCAGAAGAATACGACTACTAATATGAGGAGGAGGAGGAGGAGGAGGAGGAGGAGGAGGAGGAGGAGGAGGAGGAGGAGGAGGAGAGAGGAGGAGGAGGAGGAGGAGGAGGAGGAGGCGGAGGAGGAGGAGGAGGAGGAGGAGGAGGAGGAGGAGGAGGAGGAGGAGGAGGGGGAGGGGGAGGGGAGGGGCAGGCAGGGGCAGGGGGAGGATGAGGTGAGGAGGAGGAGGAGGGAGGAGGAGGGGAGGAGGAGGAGGAGGAGGAGGAGGGGAGGAGGAGGAGGAGGAGGAGGAGGAGGAGAAGGAGGAGGAGGAGGAGGAGGAGGAGGAGGGAGGAGGCGGAGGAGGAGGAGGAGGAGGAGGAAGGAGGAGGCGGAGGAGGAGGAGAGCGGAGGAGGAGGAGGAGGATCGTGAGCATCGCGCAGGGCAGCGGGGGCCGCACTGGCAGGGGCGAGGGCTCCGGGGAGGGGCCGCGCGGCGGCCTCGGCCTGGCCCCCGGGGGCTCGCCGTCGGGCGGGGAGGCGCGGAAGGAATGGAGGAGGAGGTGGAGGGGGAGGAGGAGGAGGAGGAGGAGGAGGAGGAGGAGGAGGAGGAGGAGGAGGAGGAGGAGGAGGAGGAACATAAATACACCGGCCCCAGCGCGCCTTGCGCCCCGCCGCCGCCGCCGTCGCCGCCGAAGGCGCCGCCGGTGCTCGGGGCGCGCAAACAGGGAGGCGGCGCGAGGGGTTCTCCAGGAAGGCAAGGCGTCGAGGAACGAGGTTCAAGGTTCGAGGGTCGAGGTTCGAGGATCGAGGTTCGAGGATCGAGGTTCGAGGATCGAGGTTCGAGGATCGAGGATGGAGGGTCGAGGATCGAGGATCGAGGTTCGAAGGGACGATTGAATCTGAGTGAGTGCTTCCAGTCATTCCCAGGCCCCTGGGCTGTCAGCAGGACGCCTCAGGATGAAGAGCCAGTCCAAGGGAAGGGATCGAGGCCTCCAGGGGCCCACGTTTGGAAAGACTGGCTGCGTCGGGGGTCTGTCAGGCGATCGCAAACATGGAGCAAGGGGGCGTGGATTGGCGACGGGTCCCGTTTCCGTGGGAAATCGCGGACTTCCGCCGCCGAGCGAGGCGGCACTGGCCGCATTTTGGGGAGGGCACCTCCCCCGATCCATGGATTTGGCGACCGCGCGCCAAATCCATGGATCGCGAATCCATGTTTGCGCGCCCCTGAGTCTGGGATCGATGTCTTTTGTGCAAGTGCCGGTCCCGGGGAAGGGAGCGAGGCCTCCAGGGTCCCACGTTTGGAAAGAATGGCCACTCCTCGTCCTCTTCCTCCTCCCCCTCCTCCTCCTCCTCCTCCTCCTTCTCCTCCTCCTCCTCCTCCTCCTCCTCCTCCTCCTCCCACGTCCTGGGATCGATGTCTTCTGTGCGAGTTTTCTGGGCCTTCCCCAGGGGCCTGCCTCGTCGCCGCGGCCGGATCCGCCGCAGGAGGCATGCCGGCCAGGGTGCGCCCTAGCGAGGTCGGGCCTGGGCGAGCCCAGCGCGTCGCCGGGGTGTGTGGGTTTGCCAAGGGCCAGGAGGGAAAGAAGCACACAGGCACAATTAGTCGCCGATTCCCCCGAAGACATGGGACAGTGTGGGCAGTGGGGTGGGGGGGGGGGGGCAAAAATCCAGAGAGTATGCGAACATATGGGGAATCCTGTTGTTTGTGTCTATTCATTTGTGTGTCCCAGGGCCGCTTCAAAGAAGACGGGTGGGGCTTCTCTTAAGTCGGGCACGTTCTTCTACAGGAGAATGTTCGAAAATACTTTAAAAATAGTCGGGGGACGATGCTTTGACTATTTTTGAGCATGTTTGTTGAATATGTCTGAGGTCTTTTTGTTTTTTTCGTCCAAAATCCGCCTGTAGGGGGACAGGCCTGACTTAGTGTGGTTTTCCAAGACGACAGGTGGGGCTTTTCAGAAGGGGCCCGATGCTTCCTAGAAGTGTTCCCAGAAGGCGGGATGGCGCCTGAGAGCCCAGACCCTCCTTCCTTTCAAGCTGGCACGAGGTAGCCCAAGATGGCTGCAGACAGCTGCCAAGAGGCCCCTCAAGAAAGCCCTGAGGAGCCAAAATCATGAATGGTCCCATGGTTTTTGACTGATTTGGCATTCTCGTCTTTCTGGGCTTCTGACGCTCCAGGACGGCCGACGAGGCCCTCAAGACTTCCCCAAGACGGCACACGAGGCTCCCGAGAGGGCTCCCTCATGGCCCCAGAGCGCCCCAAGGCGGACCAAGCTGCCCCCTAGATGCTCGGCTTTGTGGTTTCTTCACGTGGGCCCCCGCTGGAGGTCTCGGACCCATTCCCCGTCCGACCCGTGTTTTGTTCGGCAGCCCCACGGCCCGGCAAGGGCCCTTGGCGACCGAGATCGGCTCCTGTCGTGATGCCCCACGACGCGGGGGAGCCTGAGAACAAGACTCTTTGACGTCCTGGAATAAAATGACTCTCCCAGATGGGGTCCGAGTAGACGGGGTCGGAGGATCGCGCCGCATCGCAGATGCAATGCCGATGCGGCGCGATGCGAAGCCCACTCTTATCCACGCCGACGGCGCCGATGCATCGCCGACGTCGCTGGTGCATCACCAATGCATCAGCGATGCATCGCCGATGCATTGGCGACGCGGCGCGATCCTCCAACTCCATCTACTCGGACCCCATCTTGGTGGCCTCTGTTGAGCCGCCGGGGCCGGTTTTCCGGCCCCTGGGCCGTCAAAGCCTGATCCAGGGATGGCAGAGCTCTCTCCCCCTGGCAAGCGGTCGGGAGCCCGGTCCAGCGCATGGAGAAAGCCACGGCGTCGGAGCAGGAGGAGGAGGAGGAGGAGGAGGAGGAGGAGGAGGAGGAGGAGGAGGAGGAGGGCGGCCCGTGCTGCACACCCGCGCAGGGGCCCCCGGTGATCCCGGCCTCCCCCCCCGCCCCGCGCGGCGCCGCCGACAGGTGCTGGTCGGCGGCGGCGCGGCGGCGTCCAGCAGCCATGGCCGGCGGGGCGGTGCGGCCCTGCGCCACGAGGCGCCGGCGGGCCACGCGATAGGGAGCGCGGCGCCCCACCCCGCGGGGGCCCGCGCGCGAGGCTTCTGCGGGCGTCTCCGCCGTTCCCTGGGCAGGCGTCCGCCCTCGAGGTCGGCGCGGCGGCGGCGGCGCCTCGCCGAGGAGGTGTCGAACCCGGGGGGGTGCGCGGGGAGCGTCCCGAGCGGCCGCCGGAGGCCCGAGGCCTGGTGGCCCGGAGGAGCAGCTGCGGCGGCGAGCGAGGGGGGGAGAACGAGAGGGGGGAGGCCTTCTCTCGGGCCGGGCGAAAGGGGGGGATTGGGAAAGGGGGGGTTACGACATTTGCTGCGTGCAGCTGGTTTCGGCCCCACCGAGGGGCCCACTTCTCGATGCATGGGCGCCTCCCGGCGCCGGGAGGCGCCGGGAAAATCAGCTGCGTGAGCTGATTCTCAACCCCCCCCTTTGCTATCCCCCCCTTTCGCCCGACCCGATTCTCAGAAGGCGGGGGGGGGGGGGGCAGCGCGATGCATCGGCGACGCAGCGGCGAGGCGACACGATCCTCCGACCCCATCTTTCCGGGCCCCATCCACGTGGGAGGCCTGCCGGCGGCGTGCCCTGGGGCACGTGCGAGAAGGGGCGGGCCTCCTAAGACGGCTCGGAAGGCCTGCGGCCTTCCGAGAAGTTCCCTTAGGGGAACGAAAACTGGCGTAAACATAAAAACTCGGAGGTCCGAGCGGATCTCTTGGATCCGCGCTGGACCCCTCTCCCTGGCGCGCGGAGCGAGCGCGCCAGGCGGACCCCAGCGCGGATCCGAGGAATCCGCGCGGGCCTCCGATTTTTTATGTTCATGTTATTCTGCGTTCCCGTATACTTAAGCCGGGCACGTCCCTCTTCAGGAGGACGATTCCAAAATAGTATAAACAATGTCCAGGGACGATTTTTGGACTATTTTTGAGTATGTTCGAGCATTTGTTTTTGACTATTTTTGATTTTTCGCCCGAAATCCGCCTGTAGGGGGACACACTTGACACTCGACCTAACCCTGTACCTGGGCCTCCTCCGACGACGCGGACAGCTTCTCAGAAGGCGCGAGGGCTTCCACGAAACCCCGCCGCCTCTGCGAAGAGGCCTGCTCCTTCTCACCTCCCCCCCTCGGGCTCGCCGCCGATGGTCCCTGACGTTAAGTCGGGCATGTCCCTCTACAGGGCGAATGTTCTTAAATTGCCAAACAATCGTCACGGGACGTTTTTTGTCTGACCATTTCCGTTTTTTTGGTATTATTTGACAATGTTTGCATTTTTTTGTGCAAGCTCCGCCTGCAGGAGGACACGCCCGACCGAACCCTAACGGGGGTCAGCCAATCGCCTCTGGCTGACCTGGGTGTGTGAGCCACGTGGAGCCGATTTCCCTTTTTCCGCCCTCCAGAGCCGCTTTTTTGAGCACCTTCACGCTCCAGCGTTAACAACAGGACCTGGCCCAGGCCAGTCTCGAGAACCTCCGGGGAAGGTGGCCCAGCTTCTTGAGTGATGAGCTTCCTGATCGTATTTCTGGCTCTCAGCGGCCGCCGGTCTTCGCCACAGGGCCCTGGCCGACCCGGGTTTGTGCTGACCCGGGTTCCATGGTGCGCTAGCCTGCCGATGTCCGCCGATTCGACGTCTCCCGACTCGGCTGCCGGTTCCTCCGCCGATCCGATTCACTCAGATCGCCGACCCGACTTCTCGCTTCGATTCTGGGCTCCTCCAGGGGGCCACATGCGAACCCAGCCCCTACCCTCCTTGGTTTCTGAGTGGGGGTAGGGGTAGGGTTTGCATGTGGCCCCCTATCCTCTGCCCCTTCCCCGCCGCCCCTCGAGAGGCGACGCCGGCGCAGCAGGGCACGAGGCTCCTCCCGCAGATGCTGCGGCCGGAGCGCCTCGAGCTGGAGGACTTCAGGCGGGCCTGCACCGCGCAACTCGTCGTGCGGGCAGCGCCCGGCCCGCCCTCTCGTCCAGCGGCCCGTGCCCGCTCCCGCGGGCTCTGTCTCGGTTCCTCATGTCGGGCCTGTCCCCCTACAGGGGGATCTTCGACGAAAAAAATACACCCCAAATATGGTCAAAAATCGTAAAAAAGTAGTCTGGCGACTATTTTTTAAGATATTTTAAAGCCCTTCTTGGAGTATTTTTTGGAGTATTTTTTTGTTTTGTCGTCGAAATTCCTCCGATCCGATTCGATTCGACTTCGATGGCTTCCGACTCCGGTTCGATTCGACGTCGGATTCCGATTCGGCGTTCGGTTTCTCCTCGGAGGCCTCACGGCCTACCGACTGCCTCCGATCCGGCCTTTCCCGCCCTGGCTGCCGACTTCGGCCGATCCGATCCATGTCGATCGCCGGTCCGAAATCTCGACCCGATTCTGGGCTCTCCTGCCTCCCCCGACATCTCGTCGGTGTGAGGAAATCACAGCGGGCGTCTTTTGCTGATTTTTTCGGCCTCCTGGGGGCCCTCCATGGGCCACCGGGGCCGTCAACAGGAGGGCCCCGGGATGAGAAGCCGGTCCCATGGGGATTCCTGTTGGACCGGCTTCCCGCACCTCCCCAGAGGGGTAGGTCTGAGGAGGAGGAGGAGTTGGAATCGGAGTCGGAGTCGGAGTCGGAGTCGGAGTCGGAGTCGGAGTCGGAGTCGGAGTCGGAGAAGGAGGAGGAGGAGGAGGAGGAGGAGGAGGAGGTTTGAGAAGGGGGGGTCCCTTCCGAAGGGGCCCAGGCCTCCAAGGAGCCACGTTGTCAAGAGTGCACGGCGACGGATGTATGGGGCTGTACCTCGCGGTCCTGTCCTGGCGACTGGGTGGTCGCGAAGGGAGGACTGGCGGGTTGTGCTCCAGGTTCGTGCCAGGGCAGGGCACCTTCACAGCCCTGTGCACCTCGAGAAATCCCGCTCCATTCTTCTCCATCCCCCTCCCCTCCGTCCTCTCTTCCGCTGTTTTACGGGCTGCGCGAAATGCACGTGGCAGGTAAGGAAGCTATACCCCAGAGGGGGTACGATCGAAGACGAAGAGGGCGGGTACCGATGGTTTGGGATATACGTGTTGGAGCGATCAGTGTTAAAATGATTGTCGTTGTTGTTGTTGTTGTTGTTGCTGCTGCTGCTGCTGTTGTAGTCGTATTTGTTGAGCCCACAGAGGCCCCAAGCGCGCCCACGGAGGCCCCAGCACGCTGCCCACTGAGGCTCTCGGGCACAGCCCACACTGGGCCCAAGCGCGCCCACAGAGGCCCCAGCCCACAGAGGCCCCAAATGCGCCCACAGAGGCCCCAGCGCGCTGCCCACGGAGCCCCCCAACACAGCCCAAAGATGCCCCAAGTAAGCCCAGTGCTGCTGCCCGCAGGTGCTCCAGCACAGCCCACAGATGCACAAATCGCGCTCACGGAGGCCCTAACACGCTTCCCACGGAGGCCCCCGACGAAGCCCACAGAGACCCCGAGTGCACCCACTCAGGCCTCAGCGTGTTGCCCACTGAGGCCCCCGACGCAGCCCACAGAGGCCTCAGCCCACAGAGGCCCCAAGCGCGCCCACGGAGGCCCCAGCGCGCTCGACACAGCCCACAGAGGCCCCAGGCGCGACCACAGAGGCCCCGGCCCACTGAGGCCCCAAGCGCGCCCACAGGGTCCCCAGCGCGCTGCCCACTGAGGCTCTCGGACAGCCCACAGAGGCCCTGGCACCATGCTCACAGAGGCTCCAGCACGCTGCCCGCAGAGGCCCCCGAGCGCAGCCCACAGAGGCCCCACCGCGCTGCCCTCTTCCTGCCCTGGACCCATTCCACAGAGGTCCCCAGCACTCCTACAGAGGCCCCGCCCCGATGTTTACTCGGGCCCCAGACGCTTGCAAGGAGGCTTCTGGTAGGCAGGGCAGGTGGCGTTTACATTTCTCCTCGCACGTCCGAATACTGCCCATGCTTTTATCCTAAGATAGCTCTTGTTATTCGTGTGACGTCTCCGATTTCTCAGACTCCTCTCCTTCATACGGGGACGTGCCATGAACAAACATGCACATATGGGGAGCTCCGCGTCAGGTAATTTTTGCGCGCCCCCGTGAATCCATGGCATGGGAGCTTCGAATTGGGCCTGGGCAGATCACACATGATTGTCTCGGCCCGACTGGGGACGCGCTGTCCTTGCTTGCCAACAGAAGTCCCGTTAAAATAAATCAGGGCGCAAGCGTGGACCCCAGACAGGGTCCGCCTGCATGCAAGCGCTGTTTGGGGAAACCGGGCAGCAGCCTTCGCCTTCGTCGTCGTCGTCGTCGTCTTCGCCGTCCTCGTCGTCGTTTCCTGCCTGCCTCCTTTTCCTTCCTCTCCCTCGACGTCCTCGACGTGGTTTTCTGCCTACGTCCTTTACCTCCCTCCTCCCTCCCTTTTGCCTCCTTAAGGAGCTTGCCTGACCGATCTGGCCCCCTGGGCATGCCTTCCCGACCCACCCGCTAGAGTCTGCCCGCCCGATCTGCCCGTGTGGTTCTGCCACGTTTTTCCCGCTTCTAGCCCCCCTGCTGCTAATCTCTCTCGTGTTCCATCCTTCGACGTCCCCCTTCCATCCGTCATCACTTCCTCTATTCTAGGGGCTGCTCCAAATTCGCGTGGCAGGTAAGGAAGCTATACCCCAAACGGGGTACGATCGAATACGAAGAGGGCGGGTACCGAGGGTTTGGGATATACGTGTTGAATGGCACGCCAGCAGGTGAATGCGAACAGTCGTAGCATTATTGTTGTTGCTGTTGCTGCTGATGTCGTTGTCGTTATCGTCGTCGTTGTTGCTCTTGCTGTTGCTGTTGCTGCTGTGCTGTTGCTGTTGTTGCTGTTGTTGTTGTTGTTGCTGTTGTGGTTGTTGTTGTTGTGGTTGTTGTTGTCGTCGTCGTCGGCGTCGTCGTCGTTGTTGTCATCGTCGTTGTGGTTGTTGTTGTCGTTTTTTTTTTTTGTTTTTGTTGTTGAGTTCTCATTTCTTGAAGAATAATTATTGTTGACCCTCCCGTCAGGTGCACATGTTTTTCGATTGAAGTGCCCCTCCCGGGGCTCGCACCATGTGTCTTATCAGGGAAAGTCTTGAGCGTCAAACTGTGTCGTTGGCCCCCGGTTTACAACAACAACGGCTCCCACCTGATACTTCTTCACAATTTGTTGTAGAATCGCGCTCTCGCTTTGGACTTCCTTGCAATGTACCACCGGACCGCGGCTCCCGCTTGATACTTCTTCACAATGTATTGAAGAATCGCGCTCTCGTTTGGGACTTCTTCGCAACTTACTACCGAATCGCGGCTCCCGCTGGATACTTCCTTACAGTTTAGTCAGCTGCCGTTCTTCGACACTCAGGAATCGCACTCCCGCTACATATTGCCTGGCGGTTCAAACAGAATTTACGCTTCAACGACCCGCCCGCTCGACCCGCCCGTCTGGGCCTGCCCGCCCGACCAGCCCGTTATGCTTTCCCGAGTACCGTCTCCTTCCCTTCTTCCTCCATCCTTCCCTCCTTCCCTCCCTTCCTCCTCCTCCTCCTCCTCCTCCTGCCTCCTCCTCTTCCTCCTCCTCCCTCCTCTCGTCGTGGTCGTCGTCGTCGTGGTGAGCCCGCTGCCTGTCCATCTTGGGGTCGGGTTGCCGCGGGTCGGTGTGTGCATCGCCAGCGTTGCCAGTGGCCAGGCCGACGGTCCGCCGCTTGCCGGGGCCCGGTTTGCCGGTCTTTGGGACGCGCGAGTTCCATTGGCCCAGGTTCTTCTGCAGGCTTCGAATGAAGGCCTTCCTCGACGAGGCCCCCAGGACGTTCCCGCAGGTTTTCGGAGCCTCTGGAACTGCTCGGTGGTCATCGGGGCCATTCCGAGGCCCCCCAGAGGTCATGGGAGGCTTTCGGGTGCCTTCCAATCCCCCCGCGCCTTGTTTCCGCACCACTCTCCGCTCGTATCAACCTGCCCCCACTTTCCAACGTTCTTTCCCAGTCTTCTCTACCCTTTCCCTTTATCATCATTTTCATTTCGTTCGTGCTCCATTGTGCTATTCCTCAGTTCTTCGCGTTCCGCCCGCTCCTCCCCAGGCCGCCCGATCCCACCCCAACGATCTCCGCCCCTCCCGCTCGCATTCCGCATTTCCCCCAAATTATTCCCAGCCCCTCCTCCAGATTCCTCCGTGCGCCCCCCGCTCCTCCGCGCTCCTCCCGGTTCTTCTTCCCCGCTCTTTGCCGCTCCTCCTCCTGAGACCCTACTCTTGTCCACTCCATCTCAATTTTATCCCGCATCCTCGCGCTCCTCTCGACGCGGTTGCAGTTCTCATTATCCTTCCGCCCCGCTCTCCCAACATCCCGCTTCTTTCAGGGTTCCGCGAAATTAGTTTGTGACGCCAGTTCGCAGCTGTGCGTCCCCCCGTGGGGGTATCCACGATGTGTGCTTATAAAAGGGGGTGGTGCGTGGCGCTGTTTATGGCGCGACCCATGGCGAAACTTATTGTTGACTTGTGTCCGAGTGGCTGGCGCGAACCAGGGCGCAAGCTGATTCGCTATTCACAGCGCGAATCAGGGTCCTCCATCCATATTACCCCCCCCATCCCTTCCTTCCTCCGATCCCTTCGTCCTCATTCCCCCCCGTTGTTTTCAAGGGCTTCGCCGACCACGCGTGGCAGGGAATGAATATACACCCAAAAGGGGGTACGATAGAAGACGCAGAGGGCGGGTATCCAGGGTTTAAGATATGCACATTGAATGACGCGCGAGCAGATAAGAGCGAACGGTCTTAAACTGATTGTTGTTGTTGTTGTTGTTGCTGTTGTTGTTGTTGTTGTTGTTGTGGTTGTTGTTGTTGTTGTTGCTGTTGCTGTTGTTGTCGTTGGCATTGTCGTGTTCGTTGTGTTTGGCGTTGTCGGTGTCGTTGCTGTTGTTGTCGTCGTCGTCGTTGTTGTTGAACTCGCGTTGTTGAGTGTTTATTGTTGAT